ATGTGGTGCTGGGGGATTGAACCATGGTCCCTGATGCTTTGCTAAGCTTGTTCTAAGTAGGTGCTTTAGACCACTGAGCCATCTCTCCAGCCCTGTGTAGTCATTATTAATCCCATATTTTAGAACTGGCCAGATAGCTCAGTGGATTAAAGTGCCTGCTTAGGCAGAACAGGCGCTGGGGTTGATCCCCAGCCTGTTGTGTGTGGCCCTGCCTCCCAGGGCACACAGAAGGAGATTGAGACTGGGTGTGGTGGTGCACGCCTGTAATCCCAGCACTTGGGAGGCTGAAAAATGGGAAGGATCACCATGAGTTTGATCTGTGTAGTGAGATTCTGTAGACCCTGTACTAAATACATTAAAAAAAAAAAAGCACACACACACATTTTACTCATAGAGAAGCTCAGAAGTGGGAAGAAACCAAGTGTGGTGTCACATACCTGTAATTTCAGATAAGAGGCTGAGGCAGGAGGATCACTGAAAATTCAAGGCAAGCCTGCACTATGTAGCAATACCTGTCTCAAAAACTGGGCGTGGTGGGGCATGCCTGAAATACCAGCACTTGGGAGGCTGAGGCTGGAGGATCATTTTGAGTTCAGGAACACGGTGAGTTCAAGGCCAGCCTAAACTACAAAGTGAGACCCTGTCTCAAAAAAAAAAAAAAAAAAAAAAAAAAAAGGGGAGGAAATGCCCAAGGCTGCATAACTGGTTCAGGGACAGGGCTGAGACCTTCGCTCAGGCCTCCGAGTGCTGCCTCTGACGCTCTTGGCGGTCCCTGTCAGCATCATCCCCAGTGCAGGACACCTGGAGCAGGGGTCTGCTTGGGCAATGCTGCAGTTAGGAGAAGACAAGTGACACTCCCCCGCCCCTGTGCCAGCCCTGTGGGAGGTGGGGGCTGACCTGTGCACCCTCTCCCATAATTGGCGGCCCGAGGGTGGTAACTTAATAGGCCCAGCAGCCTGGCGGACTTGGCTGTTTAAGCAGCAGCCACTCACCAATAATGAAAGATCAGGAGTGAGAAAGCCGTATAAAAATAGCACTTAATAGTTAACTGGGAAACAATATATTTTCGCAACTATTGGTCCACAAGAAAATAATTGGGTCCCAAGGCAGGGATGACTCGTTTTCATGAGTGATTATATTGATCATTGGAGGGAAATGGATGCATCCCCTTTGGAGGCTGGCCAGGTATGCTGCCCTTGGAGACAGCGGAGGAGGAGGAGCTTCGGGCTAATGAGTGTGCTGGACGCTGAGCCAGCTCTCGTGCTGCAGGGAGGGCCATGGAGCCTGGTTCCCACCCTGGGCCTGAGCGCTCCCAGGAAAAAGTGGTCACACAAGCACCACTTCCTTCCTTGGCCGCGCGGCACACTTAGTCCCCCCACCCCCCACTCCCCCAGCAGCCAGTCAGTAGCAGGCAGCGTGTCCTGATGAGGGAAGGCAGGTAGGGCTCTGCTCCTGACCCCAGGCTTTTCCCTCTCCTCCTCCAGACTCCTTCCAGTCCTGTTCAGTGGCTCATTTACCCTATAGTCACCAGAGCCAGGCCTGGCAGTGCACACCTACAGTCCCAGCACCCTGGGAGGCCCCTGAGTGTGAGTCCATGTCCAGCCTGGGTAACGTAGTAATTTGTTGAGACCCAGGCTCAAAATGAAAAATAAAAAGTACAGTCCCCAGCACTTCAAAGAAAAAAGTTAGCAGATGCTCCCTCCAGTTGGGCCGAGGGCCTGGGTGTCCTGGGTCCCACGCCTAGCACCTTTCACGCTTGGCTCACCTGCTCTTCACATCAGCCTGGAGAAGTAAGGTCCTTAGCTGCCGTTCACAGCAGAGGAAACAACGGCTGACACTCACCTGGCAGGTGGCAGTCACTGGGTGTAATGCAGGCTGCTGGAGAAGTATAAACTAAGCCTGGGTTGTGGCCTCATGGGACTCCTTGTCCAGCGCTTAGAAGTGTGCCCCAGCACTGGGAAAGGAAGAAAAATTAATAGATGGCTTCCCTTCCTGTGGGCCTGGTGGCTCACAGCTCTGATTCTAGCACTCAGGAGGTTTGGCAGGTCAAGGCAAGCCTGGGTGATGGAGTGAGACCCCCCCCCCCAGGGGCACAAACTAAAAATGGACTGGGCCATGATGCAGCTGCTGGGAGAGGCCTGTGAGCGGTGCTCAGGCCCTGACCCAGTAATCAATTAGGTCCAACCTCCAACACCGCAGCCCCTTGCTCAGGATCTCTCTCTCACACACACACACACACACACACACACACACACACACACACGTAAGTGCTCGCTCAGACTGGGAACCTGAGGTTGGGCGCTCCTGTTGCCCCAGGCCTAGGGCAAGGTGATGTGGCCTGGGTAGACTGGGGTGATGAACCCAGGCCTCCGCTGTGGACCCAGGCCTCCAGCTAGGACAGAGGGGAGCCAGCTGCGGAACACAGAGCTGGGTGTTGACCCTGGTCGGCACAGGCCAGGAGAGGAAAGCCCCAGGGTTGTGGTAGCACGGACTGCTACGGACTGAACCCTGGGCAGTGACGCAATGAGGTGAAACCTACACCATAAGCCTGTCCTCTTTGGGGAGAAGCTTGGCAGGGACAGGAGGCCCAGGTGCTGGCATGAGGTGCTGGTGAACTTCGAAGGCCCAAGGCCCACGCCAGCACGTCCTGGGAGGAGCCTGCCGGGCTCACAGCAGATTTCTTCCCAGGGCCTTCTCCTGACCTCTCTGGCTGAATAAGGCCCAGGAGAGAAGTGAAAGGCAGCTTGTTACTGCTCAGTGGGGAGAGCCTGAGCCACCGTGGTGGAGCACACGGCATCTGTTCTCCTCACAGCCTGAGTGTGAGGCAGGCTTCAGGCTGGTCTCTGCACTTGTGGAGAACCAGGGGAGGGAAGGCCCTGGCCTCAGGCGCCTGGGTCCAGTCCTGCCTTCCCTCCCTGCCCTCTCTGCCCTGCCTTGGCTGCGATTACTCCAGTGCCTACCTCCTGTTCCTGCCCTGGCCACGTCTGCTCTGTGAGTGGCATTCATGTTGGGAAACAGAGGCCCAGGTCACCATGGTTACATCATTGCTTGCTGCCCAGGTGAGGGGAAGAAGCTCCCATGAGGCCTGGCTCCTTCGATCCGATGCCCTTTGCATTGGAAACCCTCCCTACAGGTGGGGAGACAGGTTAAGGAGGAAAGGTATTTGGGGGTTGGTGTTTGCCACCCTGGACCACCCTGCCCAGGTGGCTTCCTATAACTCAGCAGATACTTCTGTGACCAGGTGTAGGACTGGGACTGAGGCTCTCAGTGGGGTAGGCCTCACTGTTCTCCGGTGGATTCAGATCCTAGCTGGGCCTGGCATTGGTGTGAGTGCCATGGAGGACGGGGAGGCCTTGGACGCAGATTGTTCCCTTGCCTGGGGAGCTGCCTGTAGGCTGGGGTGGGACTGTGGCTAAACCATGATCCTCTCACTGAGCTGTGAGAGGACGGGGGGTTCTCCACAGACCTGGGAGCCTGGCCCAGGTCATGGACCACCTGACTATGCCCGCTGCTGTAGCCTGTTATCCCTTGCTGCTGTCTGTGTCTCCTGTGTTCCTGGGGGGCTGGGGCCAGTGTTTCCGTGGATAACCCCAGGGGTCTCTGCATGGCTGGAGGAACTCAGCCAGCAGTAGAGGGTAGGGCTGGGAACAGCTGTTCTGCCAGCCCACGTAACATCCTCCGCATACTCTGTCCCTGAAGTTATCCTCTCCAGCAGCTGCTAGTTTCTGCAGGTGGCCCTCTAGGACACTGGGGAGGAAAGCTATCTATTAGGCGGCCCTGAAAGCCTATGTCACAGTTCCCATGGCCCCTTGTTCCATTCTGCAGGAGGAAAAAGAAATTGGGATAGATCAAAATCACTTCTCTGCGTTTTTGTTTTGTTTTGTTGTCTTTTCTTTTTGAGACAGGGTCTCACTCGGCAGCTCAAGCTGGCCTTGAGCTCACTACACAGGCCAGGCTGGCCTCAGCCTCCTGAGTGCTGGGATTACTGCTCACTTCTCTGCGTGCTGAAGCCTCTTCCACAGAGTCAGCCTTCTCACTGAGTCTTGTTAGTCCAAGGTGCAGTAATTTCTCATTCCTTGAGCACATTAAAGACAGAGGTCCTCTGGGAGGCAGAGCCTCGAATGGCTGTGACCTGGAGCCTGCTCACACCAGAAGTGCTCCACGGGGTCCCCAGGGGTCCAGGGCTGGTGTGGGACAGAGTCCTAGAGGCTCTTGGTCCTCCTGGCTCTGAGGATCACTTGGGTGGGAAAGCTGCAGTGCTCCCTGCTGTGGGTCGAGGCTAGTGCCGGGTCCCTGTGGCAGTGCTGCAGCTAAGTGGCCCGAGGTTGATTTTTTCCCCAGTTGACTCTGCATCACTTTTCCTCCTGTACTCTGCACAGAGCTCTTAGCGACAACAAGGCACCACTCTCAGCTACCCAGGGTCTCTTCCCTTGTCTGTCCCTCTGCCTGCCTTCCCAGCCGCAATGGCCCAGCCCTGACCTGCCTGCCTGCCTCTGCCTGCAGGTCGTCTGTGCGATCCCAGGGGCTTCTGGCTGCTGACCTTGCCAGCTCTCCAGTGACTCCGACCTGGTTGACCTGCTCATTCCTGGAAGATGTTCCTGGTGGGCCTGACAGGGGGCATTGCCTCGGGCAAAAGCTCCGTATTGCAGGTCTTCCAGCAGTTGGGCTGTGCAGTGGTCGATGTGGACATCATTGCCCGGCGCAGTGAGTGCAGGGAAGCCTCAGAGAAGAGGGTCTGTCTGGTGGCCCAGCTGTGTCCTGCCCGCTCAGCTCAGCGCTTGTTTGCTGCCTCCTTTGACTTCCCTTCACTGCATCTGAAGGTGCACCCTTGGACTCCCCCCCAGCTCTGGTCAGTGGGGTCCATGAGTGACCCAGCCACCTCTTCCTTCCACAGTCGTCCAGCCAGGACGTCCTGCCCACCGTCGCATTGTGGAGGTCTTTGGCACCGAGGTCTTGCTGGAGAATGGTGAAATCAACCGCAAGGTCCTGGGAGACCTGATCTTTAAGCAGCCGGACCAGCGGCAGCTGCTCAATGCCATCACCCACCCCGAGATCCACAAGGAGATGATGAAGGAGACCTTTAAGTACTTCCTCCAAGGTGAGAGCCGGGTCTGCTGCCTGGCATTGGGGGCTCTGGTGGGCCAGGCATAGCAGAGTCCCAGGGGAAAAAGCGCCACGGAGGCTCTTGGTGACCGCAGGGAGGAAGTGATTTTCCAGTGGGGAAAGGAGTGACGCAGCTGGTGGGTTTTTCAGTTACAGACTTGAGGTCAAGCCGTGGCCTTAGGGTTTCTACCTTAGTGCTTCTTCGGTCTGGTATCTCTACGAGCTCTGGATAGGGCTTATGAAGGCCTGCTGTTCATGCTGGTGGCTTGATTGTCACATCAACCCAAGCTGCAGTCAGTGGCAGCTTTAATATACAAACTGAGCCTCTTAGGAGAACCAGGTTGCAGACTGGAGCTGGGGAACCCCAGTATGGCCAGGGCAAGGCTCTAGTGCAGCTTCATCCCCAGGGCCAGGCTCCCGGAGTAAGTCCACAGGTACAAGGGTGCCAAGATGTGCTAGGGCCTTGCGGGAGGGGGTGATAGAAAAGCCAGGAGCCCTGAGCGAACAGTAGGGACCTTCCCAGGGGTGCCCCTGCACTGTGCTGGGAGGGGCAGCTTCAGTCCCATGGTGGGGAAGGCTGGGGAGGGCCCTCGAATCTTCCTGCCTACACTGATGTAGGCAGCAGCCTCCAAGCTGCAGGCCTGACTAACTGCCACCATCAGTCAAACACAAAGCCTTTACTTCCTGGGGACTGTGGGAGCCTCTTAGGCTTTCTCTGGGTTTTCATACTGCCTCTGTGGCCAGACCCCTTGTTCTGGCCTAGCTCAGGTTCTGTAGAGTGGGATGCACCTGCCTCTGTCCCCCTCAGCCAACACTCCTCCGGAAGGGAGTACCTGTCAGACACCCATGCTGCCGCCCTGATCTGCCAGTCCCACTACTTGGGCCAAGGCTGGAGCTAGCCCTGGGCCACCTCACGCTGGCTGCCCCTGCGGCAGCCCTCCCCCTGCTCCCCAAGAAGGCGCTGGCCTCTGCCTTCCTTCTTCTTCCTGTGCCCGGGCCAGGCCCCGTCCACACCACCCTCAGGCAGAGCTGTCTGCCTTCCACGCCTGCCCTTTGCCTTTACTCCCAGGCTGGAACCAGCACATCTGCCAGGCCATCAGGCCAGGGCTCCCCCTTCTGAAATGAGGTGTCACATAATGTCACCTGCTCCCGGCTGCTACCACCATGTCACCTACCAGCCTCCCACCTCCCCACCCACCACCGCTTAAATAAAAGCCAGAAAGCCCTTTTCAGCTCGATAAGGTGAAAAATGGAGACGACAGCTGTGGCTTCTACAGCCCTAGTTTCTCCTGATGAGCATAACAAATGCAGCTGTCAAAGTTGGTACAATCAGACGTCAGATAAGGTCACCAGCTGCGGGGGGGTCTCTGCAGGCAGACACGTCTTCATAGAGTCAGGGGTACGCAGGGCTTATCAAGAGGAGGGTGACAGCTGAATAGCCCTATGCCAGTGACCGAAGCCCAGCCACCATCCCGAGAGGGACCAGGAGAAAGGGCAGGGCCAGGGAGGCTGCGGGCGGGCGGGCAGGCAGGGAGGAGATAAGAGGCCTGGAGGGGACCTGTTCTTTTCTGCTCTGAGCTGGGGCGGGGGCGGGTATCTGCACAGCCAGCCTTCTCCTGGGGGACAGTGGTAGTAACAACTGTCCCCAGAACTCAGTTGGTGGGGTGCACACAGGCAGGGCTCATTTCACCTTTCCTAGCTTTCTGTGAGGCACAGGTGAGGCTCCTGAAGGGCAGCGTGTGTTGGCAGTACCTTGTGCCAAGCCCCCTTGTCCACTCCCGGCTTCTCTTAGGTTTCTGGGGAACTTGGGGCCCAGCAGCTTAAGCCACCCCCTTCCCTGCATCACCTGGAGCGAGGTCTCCTGTGATGTCCGTTGGCTCAGTGGGCATATGGCTCTGCTGGAGGATGTGGCATGGCTGTGCCCTATAGCTGAGCAACCCCCTCAGTGGACAGGGCCAGCCCAGCACAAATGGAGTGGCCTCTTCTGGGGAGTGTGGAGATTGTGTGGGTGTTGCTTGGCTCAGGGACAGGCCCTGCCTTTTGGGTGATCTCTTTGGAGTGAGGGTGGGATGGAATAGGGCAGAGGAGCCTCGAAGCTTTTCAACTCTCCCCAGTGTCCCACAAGTCTGGCCATGTCATATCCGCACTCAGCACTAACCTTGGGTACAAGATCCAGGTGAACCAGCTGGGGCATGGTGGCGCACAAATGTATCCCTGGTACTCAGGAGGCTGGAGCAGAGGAGGCTCACTGCCAGTTGAGGGCCTGCCTGGGCTACATAGTGAAACCCTGTCTCAAACAACTGGAAAGTAAAATTGAGATGAGCACTGTCTCCCCTGAGCCAGACCCATCTGGGATAAGCGAGACTCCCTCCATACTGGTGCGGGGCACCGAATCCTCCCTCCTGCCACGCCCGTGCTGTGCAGCCCCTCGGGGTCCTCCCTGCCTGAGGCAAGCCATGCTTCTGCTGAGTGCATGGGGAGGGCTGGAGTCTGGGTCCCCTCAGGTGTTCTCTGAGTGGTGGTCCCATCATAGGAGCAGTACTGGGGTGCACAGCACAGTTGACCTCCCACCCGGCCTCTCTCCAGGGCACCGCTATGTGATTCTGGACATCCCGCTGCTGTTTGAGACCAAGAAGCTGCTCAGGTACATGAAGCACACCATCGTGGTGTATTGGTGAGTTGACTGCCCAGGGCTGGGAGGGTGCCGCAAGCCCATGGGGGCAGCTGTGCCAGAGCCAGGCACCCTGGGGCAGCTGTGGGCCTGGGCCCCGCCGCTCCTGTGCCCAGAGCATCCCTGCTGGCGGTGGGAGGCTCCTTTTCTCCCACTTTTCAAGCTATTCCACGCTCTGCTGCTCAGCATAAGGTAGTGAGGGCAGAGGCAGGCTTCTGAGGTATAGAAGGGACAGGGGCAGCCTCTGGCAATGCCAGGGCACAGAGCCTAGCCAGCAAAGGCTGTGTTCTCAGACACCCACTCCAGGAAGCACATGAGAACGCAGGTCTGCCGCACAGGCTGATTCAGACTGGCAGAGGGCATGGGTCACAGCCCCAACAGCGCGAGCAGATGAGGCTGCAGGGCATGACTCCTGGGCGCCACACGCAGTCAGCACCGCCGGAGGTCAGGCTTGAGGCCGGCACCCTGGCTGCCCACTTTCCCTGCGCCTTGCCCGGGCTGTGACTTTAAGGGCAGCCTGGGAGCGGAAGCATCCCCAGCTTCTGAGGGCTGTGCCTCCTCTGTAAACCTGCCCCTTGGTGTTCTCGTTCCCTGCTCGTGAGACGTGTCACGCGGAGCTCGTTGCCCATGAAGTGCTCAGACCCTCTGTGCCCCGGTAGCATAAGTGGACCGTTCTGCCGAGGGTCAGAAACAAGGACTTTAGGCCTCAGGGTGGAGAGTGGCAGAGCAGAGGCCCTGGTGCCAGTCGCCCCAGTTGTCAGCACAGGAGGCTGGGCCTTGGAGAGAGGCCAGACAGGTTTTTGTTGCCTTTCACCAGAGGATCTGCACGACATGTGGCAAGCCACATCTGGCCAACACCCAAACGTGATACTTTCTTAGTGGTGCTGGGACCACTACCCAGGCCTCCTGCATGCCAGGCAAGCACTCACATTGAGCTGTATCCCCAGCCCTGATTACTCAAACTCCTGAGGAATTTTGACAGTTGTAGAGTTTGTATGTGGGCAGAAATCCCAGCACCACAATAAGCATCAGTCCTTCAACTCCAGCAGCTCAGGAGGGCTGAGGGTGCAGTTCCAGGCCACCTATTCGGTGACAGGCAGCACCCATAGCCTTAGCTTCAAGCTGGCCCTATTGTCACCTGGGTTCCAAGCTCCTGATGAAGTTTACATAGGATCCTGTCCTCAGTGAAGTGGACACAGCAGCCCCCAGTCCCTAGTGCCCATAACAAAGCACATTCATTGTCATGGACGGCAGCTTCCCAGGGCCCAGAGGAGGGAAGGCAGTAGAACACACACCCCTCCCCGCTGTCGCCGTCTCCTTCCATAGCCAGGAAAGCTCAGATTTAGTGAGTGGGAACAGCTATGTAGACATCCCCTCCTGACCTAAGAGTAGGGGGCTGTTCCAGGGGACCTGTCTGGGGGCTTCCTGAGGACAGATGTAGGGACAACATCAGGTGGTAGAAGAGGCAGTCTCTCTTTCCCTTGGAGTTGGAGACCTGCAGTGTTCTGCTCAGCATGTAGTACCTGATTCTGCAGCAAACCTGGGTCTGAGCTGAGTCCTTGCTGCACCAGAGGCCCCTGGCTTGTGCGCCCATTCCCCCAACTCCTCAGGCATGGAGCACAACAGCTGCCATCTCAATGTGCAGGGGCCAGAGAGGGCTTGGTGGCCCCAGGAAGGGTGCGGACACTGCAGCCCAGGCCCAGGGAACTGCAGGAAGTGTGGGGCTTTCTAGAGTGGATCCAGAGACCCAGGATGCACTGATTCCAACTGGTCCCAGCCTCCTGCCCCATAATTGGGGACCTGCTGGGGAGCAGAGGACACTGCCTGCCTCCCCCCAGAGCTCCCTGAGCTCCACCCTCACAGCCAGTTCCTGGGGCGGTCCTGGAGGGGAGACTGTTCCTGGACCCGCCTGTGTCTGCCAGTAGCAAGGGAGGCCACAGCCCATAGTGCCGGTTTGCCTGTCCTTAGCGATCGAGACACGCAGCTGGCACGACTGATGAAACGGAATGGCCTGAGCCTTGAAGATGCTGAGGCCCGTATCCAGGCCCAGCTGCCTCTGAAGGACAAGGTCCGGATGGCCAACCATGTGCTGGACAACTCGGGCAACTGGGGTGACACGCGGCGCCAGGCCATCCTTCTGCACCTGAGGCTGGAGCGGTCACTGGAGTACCTGCCCCTGCGGCTCAGCGTGCTCATGGGGCTGGCGGGCATTACCAGCCTCCTCTACCTGCTCGCCCGCTGCCTGCTGCCTTCCCCCTAGCCAGGTACAGCCCTGAACACCCTCGGTCTGGCTGGCCAGCCCTCTCTCCTTCCCTCCCAAAAGCACCCACTCCAGCTCCTGTGGCTTGAGGCAGCAGTGGTGGCTCTGTGGCCTCCTGGGGTGCAAGGGCTCCCAGGCTTGAGTCCTCCCTCATCCATTGAAACCAGAACCCGTGTAGACTGGGGAGACCTTTGAAAGAGGGATAGGGTGCTGTGGCGGGCAGACTGGAAGGCCCTCCCTGGGCTGCCCCCAGCCCCCTATCCCCCAGCCCCGGCCTCTACCACATTAGTGGCAATCCTGAACCCCTGGTGCCCACAGGCCCTGCTGTTCCTCACCTGTGCCTCACTCCGGGCTCCCTAGTCTGGGGCGTCCTGTCTCCCCCACCCCTTCCCTGTAATCCATGGTGTCACGAGCTCAGAGCCCTGGTCCTCTGGAGCCATGGGCCTCGTGGGGCAGGGACATCCTCACTGCTGCTCCTGTGGTGCTCAAATAAAGTGTGATACAGACACTGGGGTTGCAGACATGGTGGGTGAGGTGTGCAGTTCCGCGGCTTCTTCCTGCTCTGGAGCGCGCGCCAGGTGCACTGAACCCCTGAGGAGTGGGGTACGTCCTCAGCCCAGCCAGACCAACACAGCCCTGAGAACCCCAGGCAGTGCTCAGGCCCTGCTGCTGTGTGGTTTTTGCCTGATGAACGTGCTGGCAGCTGCGTTTAGTGCCCCCTCCCTGTGGCACTGCATGCCCCTGGGAGACTTCATCGACTCCCCACGCCCCGCTCACCACCCCGCCGCAGGGATGGGGGCAGTGCTCCTGTGGTTCCAGGGTTAGAGTAAAGGACCCAGTGCTACACCGCTGGGCCAGCTGCAAGAGCAGAAGGCCAGCCCTGTGCTGGCCGGGGGGAGCAGGCCTCGGGGTGGGAGACCCAGTGCTATGTCCTGTGTGCTGCGACCTCCACTTTTGGCTTTCTGCTCTTGAGGGGGCTCTGATTCTTGGGTTGTGGGACCTCCTTTTGAGGGGGACAGTTAAAATCCCAGAGAAGCTGGACCTAGGCAACTTGCTGTCCTGAAACCACTGTGTGGCCAGCAGGTGGCAGCAGGGACCTGGCTGAGGCCCTCTGGGCAGTTCAGGTCTCAGCCTCTACTGCTGGGCCCCCCAGATCTATGAGCTCCCCAGAGCCATGGGTACCCAGCCCCCGCAGGCTGAAGGAGTGCAGAGTGTTGAGCTCACAAGTTTGTGACCTCCTTGGGATCTTCGGGTTTGTGCCAGAGTGGCCCCTGTGGGTCCCACCTCAACTGGCAGCCACTCTAGGTATTCGCCTGCTTTCATGGGGGAACAGGAGGAGCAGAGAGAGGCTTGGACCCTTGATAAGCTTCGAGACTGGAACTGGACAGGAGTGCAGATGGCCCTGACAGCCACAGAGAAGTTGGAAGGAGCCCAGCCGGAAGCACTGCTCCTCCCCCCACGCCTCCCTGGAGCCTAGGCTGCACCCTGCTGAGCCCAGCCCCTCTCTGCTCCCCACCACCTCTGTCCTTCATCACCACTCAGATTCCAATACAATTCCCAGCTAACCAGCATGTCAATAGAACAAGTCGGCCGCGCAGTGCCGGCCAATTACAGGAAATCATTCCGCTCCACGGCTCAGCGCTTGCCCTCGGGAGAGAGGGAGGCCAGCAGGAGGATGGGGGCTTTGGATGTCCAGTCCCTGTGTGAAGAGACCTAGACCTCAAGCGAGAGAGATGAGGGGAGCAGGAGAGAAAGAGATGTTGGGGGCTGAGGAGGTGCATGGAATGAGAGCTGTGTGGAGCCCCAGGACTGAGTGGGCATGAGCCCCACCCTGCAGGACACTTGAAAGCCTGAGGACCTGCAAGACATGCAGACCACGCCCAGGGGTTTCCAGGGCCAGGATGCCTGGAAGACAGGAGGACCAGCTCCCTGCGTCCAGGCAGCTGTTGTGCAGTGGGGACAGGGTCTTCCTCACGCCTTCCAGCCCTCTACCTTCCAGAAGTCCCTCCTCTGGCTTCATAAAGACGTTTGCTTGGTGTCTGGCATCCCAGCTTAGCTTATTGAGAGGCTGAGGCAGGAGGACCGTAAGTTGGAGGTCAGCCTGGAAAACTTAGTGAGAATCTTGAAAAATGAAAGGGGCCAGCACACAGCTCAGTGGGAGAGCTTGTACCCAGCATACACGAGGCCTGATTCCAATGTAAATTCCACTCAGAAGGACCCTAAGTGCCCATACGCACCATCTGGATCTCCCTCTTCCCGTGTCTCCTCCACCAAAACTGTCCCCAAGTTGCCTGCCAGTGAGCAGCTCTCCTCCCTGGCCCTATACTGGCTGTCCTTGGAGAGCAGGAGCCCTCGTGGACTCCCTCTTTCGGGGAATTGAGTGACTATGGGTACCCTGGCAGGAGCCCCTGGGACCCAAGGCTCTTCCTCCCCTGCAGATGCCTGGTGTCCTGGTGGGGTGCATTCAGCCCTTTGGGCCCCCAAGGGTGGGCAGGTGGTGCAGAGAGAAGACCAACACCCAAGATGAGGTGAGGCTGGGGGCTGAGTTCTTTTTCCTGGGCAGAGAGTGGGACCCCCTGGCATGTCCGTCTGCGCCTGTGGGTGTCATGAAGCCGTCGCCCCATGTCCCTCCTACAGGCCAGGCGCCCAGGCTCAGTGACACGCAGGGCACAGCCAGCCTGCTGGCTTGGGCCATCGACCGGCCGCCTCCTTCCTCGCTGCTCGCTTTTAATTGAAGTTTGTTTGAGCAGAGTGCCGAGCAGGCAGAAGCAGAAGCCAAATATTTAGTTGCTGCAAATTGGCACCTGCAGATCAATTACCCGGCTTGGGCCGACCGCAGAATCTCAGTGCTGGCACCCAGTCCACACCATGCGTCACTTGTGGCTGGCAGGGGACAGATTTCCAATGGAAGAGGGTCCCTGAGAAAGGACTTGCTCTTGTGGACCTGGCCAGGTCCCTGGAGCGCACTGCTAGGTGACCTTGGGGAGTCCCCCTTGCTCCCTGACTGGGACAGTGGCCACTTTGTGGCACTGAAAGGAGAGACCCAACGCCTGACCTTTGGTGGCTTCTAGCCTTGCGAGTTCTCTGCCGGGTGGGGACATGGAGGGCAGCTGTGGTCCAGCCATGGCAGAGGCCACTGTCCCTCCAGTCCCTAGCAGGCCAGGCCCTCCAGGGAGAGCTCCAGCCCAGCCCAGGGGGGCAAGGAGGAGGAAAGGACACCCCCACCTGTGGAGGGAGAAGGGGATGGTGTGGGGGAGGAACTCTGACCTCAGAAGGGTCTGTGCTGACAGGAGAGCCCCTCTTTCTGCCCTGCCATGGAGTTGCTTGGCCCTGTCAGGGTGGCAGGGCTTGGATGACATGATGGTTGTAACCCCTGGGGTTCCAAGAGTAGGAGGGTCTGGGCCACCCCTGCCCTGTCCAGGAGCCTACAAGGCATCGCACCTGGGGTCCAAGGGGGTGCCAAGGCTAACAACTACATACCCCACTCCCCCACGTTGATTTTCCTAGCTGTGAAGTGGGCTCACCAGCCACAAATCACTGGGTTCCAGTACCCCACCTGCCGCTCTTGCTCCTATTGCCCACCTCACCTGGAATACAAAACTCCCTCTCTGGGGTTGCCAGCCCACCATTCATCAAGCCCGGCAGTCCTTCTGACACTCTACCCTAAATCTCTCACTGCCTCCTAGGGAAAAGTGTAAAGGAGGAGCAGCAACAAGATAAACGCTTACGGGTAGGTGATGCCACAGCATTTTACAAAATACCCCACAGAGGGTTGGGAGGGCGGGGATTGTCTTCACACAGTGCTCTTTACACTAAACATCTTGGCGATAAATATAGTTGTGTAATTCTTTCTTCTCTTGGCAGGGAGAAAGGCAGAGGGACCCAGAAATATAAATCAATGTGTGACTTTAATGTATGTGCTCTCAGCGTCTGTGTGCCGGGGATTATTAGTAACCTTGATTCTAGCTCAGTGTCCATACGAGGCGGGACGCACAACCTCCAGGGAGGAGGAGAGAAATTAGGAAGCCAAATTCTCCTTCTGACTGACACCTGGGTAAACATTATCCTGGAAGAAGAGGAAGAAAAAAGATCAATTCCGGGCATGTTTATCACGTTCCAGGGACGGATGAAGAAATTAAAGGGACTTGTCTAAGGCAGTTGTCCCAAGGTGGGGGCGAAGGATCACGGCCACATGCCTGACCTGGTCTGCTGCCCCTGCGGGCCATTTCTCGGTTCCATGGGTCCTGCCCTCCTGAGGGCAGTGGGTGGCAGGCAGAGCAAGAGAGGGAGGAGAGCCTGCAGAGGTATCTGGGACCTGAGTGCAGAGACCCTTGCCTCCGTCCTCCATCCTCCATCCTGCCTGGTCTGAGACCTTGACCCAGGCATCTGCCCTGAGTCCCTTCCCCAGAGTGTGGCCGGTACCCCCTCTCTCTGCACAGAGCAGAAGATATTAAATATGGTCCTTGTAAATGTTCTCACAACCACTTTTTTTTTTTT